ACTGCTGTGGTTTGGATAAGTGTCCCCCCAAAGATCCATATGTTAAAGGCTTGGTCCCTAGGGCAGCACCATTTAGGAGGTGGAGCTTTTTGGGAGGTCCATAGGCCACTGGTAATATGTCCTTGTTGGGAATTGTTGGGGCCCAGGCTGCTGCTGCTTTCTTTTGGTTTCCTTGCAGTGAGATGAGCATTTTGCTCTACCACATGCTCCCTGCCATTGCCATTTGGCACCCTTATTAGAGGCCCAGAAGTGATGAGTTTGCCTGATTTTGAGTTGGAAACTCCAGAACTGTGAAATGAAGTAAATCTTTGCACTTGATAAGTTATGTTATGGTTTGGATATGTAATGTTCTCCCAAGGCTCATGTGTTGAAGGCTTGGTCCCTGGTGCAGCATTGTCCAGAGGTGGGGCTTTTGGGAACTGATTAGATCGTGAGACCTGTGACCTCATCAGTGGATTAATCATTGATAACTGCATGGACTACGTAAGGTGGTGGAAACTGGGCACATGGAACATGATTGGACCAAGAGGTCACTGGGGTCTGTGTCCTCTACCACTATATCATGTCCCTGCTGCCCCTTCCCACTTCCTTCCCTGCTGTTGTGAGCTGAGCAGCTTTTCTCTGCCACACCCTTCTGCTGTGATGTTCTGCCTCACTTCTGAGTAATGGATCCAGCCAACTGTGGACGAAAACCCCCGAAACCATGACAAAATGATGACTAACATAGTTAATTAACACAAGTACTTTATTATAGTGACAGAAAGCTAACACAAGAAACTAAATGAGATTAACTAACTCGCTGAGAAATGCAACTGTACATGGTGGAGCTACGAATGTGCCTTGAGATTTGACTACAGTCTATGATCTTAACACAGTTTTTCCCTTTTTTTTTTTTTTTTTTTGGTACCAGGAATTGAACCCAGGGGCACTTAACCACTGAGTTACGCCCCCAGAACTTTTTTAGTTTGAGACAGGTTCTCACTAAGTTATTTAGGGCCTTGCTACATTGCTGAGGCTTGCCTGGGACTTGTGATCCTCCTGCCTCAGACTCCCAAGTTGCTGAGATTATAGGCATGTGCCACCACTCTTGCTCTGTATTCTTAACATCATCAGTATCTAGCATACAGAATAACACTTGGTAAACACATTATTTATATTTGCTGAACTGAATGTATTAGGTCAGAATTCATTTATGTAGTATTTACTTATTTAACTTTGTATTACTTTGTACTATAAATGAAGACTAGCTTTCTTCATTGCTTGACTCATAGTTTGTTGAATGTGGCTAAAAATTGAGAATTTTAAGTTGAAGATAAAGCATTTTCTTTGATATTTTATAAAATGAATTCTACTTTTACAAACTCATATAGTCCCTAATATCCCAAAATTTATTATAAAAATGAAATATTACTTATTAAAGTTATGATGAAAATGTTCTGAAGGATGCTTTTTTCCTTACAGGCTGGATTGCCTGAATCTTATACAAGTATGACTCTGGGACCATTTAAACTATAACAAGCATGGCTATTCATCGTTCCACCAGTGGTTCTCAACCTTGTCTGCATGTTAGAATCACTGGGGAAACTTTTAAAAGTCCCAGTGCCAAAGGCTGCTCTGAACTAAGATCAATTGAAAAGGAATGTCTGTGTAGAATATATATTAGTGTTATTTGAGTTATTCCTGTGTGATTTTTATTTTAGAGAAAGATGTGCTAATGGTATTTCAGTGGGTTTTTTTTAAAATTATATTCATAGTTGAAGGAAAGGGTGAATTTTACTAAAAAATTAGAGAATATATTTTTTAATCCTTTTAAGATTGTCTGATTTAGAATGCCTGTCATAGATATTTCATTTCAAAGATTATAATTTACTTATAGAATGAGCTTTTTTCCTAAGAAGACATGATTGCAAGTTTACTATTTAACGCTAATATATTTAAAAAGTTAATTATATAAATTTAAAAATTTATTTTAAAAGGATATTAAAATTTTTCAGTTATAATAAATAACTCATGCATAATTGATATAATTTAATATTTTAAAGATTCATTTCCCTTTTAATATTGTATTATAAATGTTCAAACATACAGAAACCTTGAAAAAGTTTTATGATGAATACCCATATATCCATTATTTAGATTCTACACTTAACATTTACTGTACTTACTTTATTATATATCTTTACATTTATTCATCACTGTATCCATTCATGAAGCCATCTGATTTTTAGTGCCTTGCAAAATAATTTGCTAGTATTAGAACACTTTTTCTAAAATACATCAGCATGCAAACCTTTTACTTTGTACAATTTGAAAACAATGAAATGCACAAATCTGAAGTATACTATCAACCCAGTAAGTGGACACACCTGTGCAGTCCATATTCAAAATGCAGTATGTTCCATCCCAGGGTCCTATCCCTTCTAGTAAATCACCATTATTTTGATATTTTTCTGATAGCTTAATTATGCCTGTTCCAAACTTCATATAAACAGTAGCAGACAGTATATACTCTTCGTATGTAGGCTTATTTCACCCAGCATAGTTTTGAAATTTACCCATGTTGTGACATATATTAATAGTTTGCTCTTTTTATTCCTGAGTGGTACTCTGTCACTTAAATTTACTGGGATTTATTTATCCTTTTTTTCTATTGATGGGCATCTGGATTATTTCTAGTTTTGGGTTCTTGAGAATAAAGCTTTAGTAAGGGTTCTTGGGAACATAGCTGCAAAGAGCTTTCCGGGGGAAGTCTTGTCATGGACATATCTTTTCACTGCTCTTAGATTAGGCTTGTTAGGTAACAGGATATGGATATGTTCAGTTTTTAAAGACATGCAGTTGCCAAATCTTTCCAAAAGCAATCAGTGCCATTTTACATGCCCACCAGGACTATGAGAGCTCAGGTTGCTTTACATAGCTGCGTTTTTGTTTTGTTTCAACTTAATGTTATCTCACAATTTGTGTTCTCACTCTCTCACCCGTTTCTGAACATTTTTTTGATCCATTTTTCATTTTATTTTTCAGATTGCAAATTGGCCAAAACAGTAAATCTTAAAACAGCATAGTAGTTTTGGTGAGATATGAAACTGCTTGTATTACAAAATGAGTTGCCTTTTTTTTTATTTTGAAAAAAATAGTTTAGATAATTTCCCTATAAAATACTTATTGAAATATAACTAACTTTAATTTTACTTACATTATTCATTATCATTTATGGTATGTGTGTGTGTTTATGAAATCTGATAATGGTTTTTAGGATTTAAAATGCACTTTTTCTATAAATACCAAGTGATCTCTAGTTTGAGGATTGTTTCCTTTTTTTTATGTTATTTTCTCTCGCGTGCTTTTTTTTTTTCTGTTATTGGCTCATTTCTTATTTTGAAGTATCTTATTTTCTGTTCAAAATGCAGTTAGAGGGGCTGGGGTTGTGGCTTAGTGGTAGAGCACTTGCTTAGCACGTGTGAGGCACTGGGTTTGATCCCCAGCCCCACATAAAAAACTAAGTAAACAAAGGTATTGTGTCCATCTACAACTAAAAATATTTTTTTAAAACTACAGTTAGAATTTTATTTGTAGCTGCATGTAAGAGAAATGGACATTTGGAAATACTTTCAAATAAAATATTATGAAAACATTTTATGGGGAGAATGAGAAAGGAAAAGACTGCTATACTGATTTAAAAACTAGTTACTTGGGAAGTTAGTTTTCTGATTGCTGGATTTTTTCTTCCAAATTTGTAGGTATGATAGATCAGAAAAGACATTCTACCCTTAGTGTCTTAAAAAGTTATTTTCAGACATTAAGCTCTAGTTCCTACTCTTACTTTTTTTCTTTTGTGTGAAAGAGTTGAACTCAGCTTGATGAAACTGAGCCATGAATTCATCTAACTATAAACACTGATAGAAGTGATGACATGGAATTCGTTTTCCTTAAGCACCTGGGATGTGTAAAGAGTGGCTACTTTCTTTCTCTTACACAGGTTATGTCTTATTCTTGCATTGTTGGCTTATGTCACATTGGCCTAGTACATTTATACTATTTTAATTATGTTTCGCTTATTTGAAAGAGTAACTGCACCCTTTAATTCTTTTCAAATCATTTTACTTTTTATATAAAAAATGCTTAGAAAATAGTTGTGTCTTTTAAACATATCACATTATTTTATAAGTGACTTTGACTTTATTTAAAGGCTGGGCATGGTGGCGCACACCTGTTATCCTAGTGACTCAGGAGACCCAGACAGGAGAATTGCAAGTTCAAGGCCAGCTTCACCAAACTTGGTGAAACCCTATCTCAAATAAAAAGGAGCAGGGATATAGCTTAGTGGTAAAGTGACCCTGAGCACAATCCATAATACTACCAAAGGAGCTGGCGGGGGGGGGGGGGGAGTAAAAATAAAAACTTTTAAAAAATTGGTGGTGGCTTTTAGTGAAAATTTATTTAGGCTAACTCCCACAAGGGATTAATATCTTAAACACCAAATTCAGATGAACTAAAAGTTAAATCATGGTTATCTGAATTCTTGAAAAATATGTTAAACCTTTTTCGTACATTTTGCCTAATTAGAACTGCAAAGGTATTTCTTAATGATAAAGGTTGGTAGTTTTATAATAAAATGACAATGCTGTACTGGACTTCATTTTGTAGCACAAATATTTTCATATCGACATTTAGACACTATGCTCAATACATTAGATATATAGTATACATTAATGAAGTTGTTCATATGTTAGTAATTACTGTGCTATATGTCATAAAAATATGGGTTTAAAAATTTTTTTCTCTATAAAGGATGTAATCTATTGACAGAAAAAGAATCCTGTTAATGCTAGTGGAGATGAAGAGATGTAATACAGGGAGAGTTGTTTTGTTTGTTGGAGTCCACCTTCTAGCTGAAATGAAACAGAGCTTAAAATTTCTAAATTGAGGTATTTTGAGGGAAACATTATTTCCTATTGGTAGAGTGCCATATAACTTATTCAGCTTTCATCTTTACACAGGGCTCCTTAATAAGCATTCATAGTCAGTTTTTGGCAGCGTTAGAATCACTGAAGGCATTCTGGGATGTTATGGATGAAATTGATGAGAAGACCTGGGTACTTGAGCCAGAAAAACCTACCCGGAGTGCAACAGCACGCAGAATTGCATTAGGTAGGGAAAAAGATGACTAGGTTTTATTTTCAGGTGTTTAAAATTATATTTATTGGAACTTTTCTGTAACAGAATTGACCAGAATCCCAAGTTACTTACATTAGAAATTGACTGTTTTTTTTTTTTAAACTTGAGATCCATGAATCTTTACTGATGATCATGATTTCAAAATTACCTCTTTTAATAAAACATTTCGTTAATCTTTACTTGAGTGGGTATACAGTAAAATTGGCAGTCAGACTGACATGTCTTTGTTGGCTTGATGAACTGGTACACTTGTGAAAACTTTAATCTTCTTTTGTTCTAGGAAATAATGCTTCCATAAATATAGAAGTGGACCCCAGGCATCCTACTATGCTTCCTGAATGCTGCTTTCTTGGAGCTGACCATGGTATCAGAACTCAGAAATATTTTTAACAGAATCATAAAGTCCTTGGCTACCACTGTTAAATATAATTCGGAATTAGAAATAGTAATTACTTTAAATGAAAATTTCTCATTGTGAATTATATACTTTTAATTAACACCATGCATATGATTTAGGTTTTCAAGTCAAATAGTTCAGAAGTTTACTTTCTGTATCAAATGTGGCTGTATGAAATGAGAGAAAACCCTAATTTATTTATTTATTTTTTTTGTTTTAATATCTGAAGTGGTAAAACCCCTGGGAATTAAGCTGAGCAGGAACATACATTTGTGGTAAGTATCTTGGCAATATATTAATTTGTCTATGATTTCACAAATTTTATAGCAAATATATGATTGTATATGTATGTATATATGGTTTTTTTTTTCCATGCTTTTAGGGATCCAGAAAACAGTCTATTACAAAATCTGAAAGATGTTTTAGAAATTGATTTCCCAGCTCGTGGTATCCTGGAAAAATCTGTAAGGTTTATCAGTGCTTTGATATTCCACATTGTGTTGCATAATTAAATTTAAATGCTTCTCTCAGAAAAATGAGGCTAAAAGGGAGGGAATTAGAATAATGTTCTAACACAGACCTCTGAACTACAAATTTTTATATCAAAGAACTTGTTAACCTTTGGTGGTTTTAAATGTACTTTTTATCATGGTCTTCAGCAGCAGAGTGATTGACAGACGTTTATCATTAGAAATAAAGGGAAAAGTCCAAAATAGCTAATGAGATGTTTGGATCTTCTATATTATCTACTTATGGATAACTGAAGTATAGTTTCAGTTAACTTGATGTAAGTGTTTATGAAGGATGACAGTATTTTTTTTTTTAATGAAAACTACTATTGCAAAGATAAAGAATTGATTTTCACATAGCTACTAAGGTTGTAGAATACTAAGTGGTGGTGATGTTTTTCTTGTAGTTATATAAATTTTTGAACCTTAGTTAGTAATTACTAGATTATGTCAATTCCCTTATTTACATACTATATAGACATATTCATATGGATGAAATCCCTAAGGCCCCAAAATGAAATTTGGTACATATGTGTATATTTGAATGAAAAAGGAAATACTAAAAAGTACCTTTACTAGGTGTTTAATATGGCAAGTTACTTTTATAAAAATGATATAAAATTTAATATTGTATATGTACTGTTTTTCCCTAATCTTACATATGCATTTTGAAGAAATATGCATATAAATATTTTTCTTTTGAAGGATTTTACTATGGATTGTGGAATTTGTTATGCCTATCAACTTGATGGTACCATTCCTGATCAAGTGTGTGGTAATCCCCAGTGTGGACAGCCTTTTCATCAAATATGCTTATATGAGGTAAAACTAAAAAATAATGGCAAGACTTTTTTTTTCCAGCTAATACAGCATAGAAAATATGCATATTTGAAATATATGAAAAAATTTGTTTATTCAGTTGTGATCCCCTTTTGCCTTAATTTCTTTTACCAGTTTATTAGTAAATGAAGAGATGCTTAAAGTATCCAAGAAGGGAGAAAAATCTATCCAGAATATATTTGCAGACTTGTTTTTTGCATAACAGATTAAGTTGGTGGTACATTACCCAGTGCAAGCTCCTTAGATTCATCCTGGTGGCAGCACTGAGGTGAGGGAATTAACACACGGTACAGTACCTTATTTTTCAGGCTGTACTTAACCATAGAAGAAATGCAACAATCACACTTTTCTGGTTAAAGATAGCATTCGGTACTATATACACCATACCAATAGAGACTTCAGATATAAACATCAATTTATATTACATAAATATCAGGTCTGATTATAGAACGCTAAGGGAACATGTGCTTTTGTAATACGAAATTTAACTTTAAAATATTGCTTTGTAATCAGTGGCTTGAGAATACAATCTTGGTGATTAAGACCACAGTGAGATTAAATTTTTGGAAGCTTATAGGATCTTTTGTGGCAGGAGTTCTTTATATTGATTAATGGATTTAGGGAAGGTATGTAAACCCCAGGAACTTCTATGCATTATCTTTGAGGGCAAAGAAAGTATAACTCTCATCAAAGGGTCTTATAAACCAGTGGTTCAGACTATTCCACGTTGATCTCCTCTTGTTATTCAACTTAACAATACTCTGGTATTATTTGGCTCAAGAAATGTGTCTCCCCCTACCCAATCCCTAGTGGTGCTTGGAACTGAACCAAGGGCTAAAAATGTATTTCTTACTCTAATAATTAAACAATTAGTAAGGTTAACCATCTGGAATCATACTGACTTTTTTTCTCTTTTTTAAATCTCCAGTGGTTGAGAGGACTACTCACTAGTAGACAGAGTTTTAATATCATCTTTGGTGAATGTCCATACTGTAGTAAGGTAAGCAAAGTGTTTATCACAATTCATAAAATGTGCCTTTTACTAATGTTATAAAAGACACCTATAGAGAATATCAGCTTATCTGAAACTTTTTGAAACACATTCTCTATTTACCTAGTGAGAAAAGTTTTCTCTAAGAACTCCTTTTCTAGATTTCCTCATTTACTTGAAACTTTAGAAAATGATGTCCCAAACTGTATAGTGATATTATTTCTAGCATAAAGAATTTTAGTGTTCAAGAACTTTAAAATCATATATATTTTTTTTTAGCCAATTACCTTGAAAATGTCTGGAAGGAAACCCTGAAATAAGCATTTCTATGAAGAAGTAGAAACTTTATTAAAAGGATTTTATTTGATATCTTCAGAGAATACATAAAGCAAGACATACTAATATCAAAAGGAAAACTATGATGAAGCCATAATAATATACATCTGCCTTTGCCTCTTCACTAAGAGTAAACTGGGAAATTGTAGGCCAGAGTCCTGTAGAACTTTCTAAGTCTGTGACCCCTGTACCAATTGGGGAAGTATGTGTGTACCAAGGAGGAGACCTTGACTTGCTGATTACATCTGAATTGGTAAAATCTTGATAGGGCTCATAAAATGAATTTGGGAATTGCACATAGCTAGATTTTTGGGGAAAACTGTTTATTTCATTCAGAAGTTCTGAAGACTCACAATATTTTTGTCTTCTCTTTCTGCCTTCCTATGGAAAAAAATACATATATAGTTAGATTTTTTTTTGTCTTTTGAATATTCTGTATGAATGCTAAATAAAATTTAATCAAATCAGAGTCATTGGATGGTTCTTTTTAAAACAAATAGACAATTTCACTAAATAGTGTACAATTAAAAACAAAATATGAAAAAACAATTCTCTGGGCAAGATGGTCAAGCTTTTGGCCACTAGTCTCAACCATGCATATCTTGGCAAGTCAAATGATTCCAGCTTTATTTACTGAGTAAAGGATGAGGCTGTGTACAAACCAGGAAAAATTCACAGTGGATGATGTGTCACAATTGTTGCAAAGTTGTGAAGCCCAAACAGGACAGACTGAATAGATCATAAATTAACTGGTTACTTAAATACACATTTCAGAAGTTGCTTCAATGTTTTCACCATCATTCATGTGGATCAGAGCCTCAGGAATCAGTTTTTTCCTCACTACTTAACTGGCTGAGAGTCAGGAGTTGTTCTGTTTCTTCTTCACTTTGGTAATCCTTGGATTGCCCTCTCCTTATTCAATTTATAAAACAAAGCAGAAACACCTTAGTCTTGTTACTTTCATTCAGAAACATCTGCAACACCATCATTCTTCAGTATAAGCTCAATTTCTAAACTGTCACCCTTCAAAAAGTCTCCCCCACCCCAAAAAAGTCACTTTCAGGGTCGAGTTTTAGAAGGTAAGAAAGGATTTCTACATAATTCACAAGAAACAAAGTAGAGATGTTCTGAAACGACTCTTTAGCTTTCCTATTAAAAATAAACAAACTAGTTGAGAGATAAAGCTAACAAAGTTACACTAATGCAGTTTTCCTAAGTCTTGATGACTTCATTCACTAGAGGTAAGATAAATAAGTAGTATTCTAGTACATTGTAAATCATTCTCAAAGAACTGTGCCTTCAAATCATAATTCTAAGGGCTGAGAATCACTGACTAGTTAAGCAGCATTTATATATAACTTACATGTGAAAGAAATATTTCCATATAGTTAGAAATCAAGCTACTAAAATTTTAAGAACCATCCATTGTGTAAACTATACTGCTCATTTTCTCATTCAGCACCAACAATTGACATCAAATGGGAAAGTACTCTTTTATAAGAGTATTTGGTCTCTGAGATCTGACTGGGAAAGATAGTTTATAATAGAAGTTGGCAATAATTGCCACCTGAATTTTTTTAATAGGTTTACTGGAACACAACTTTGTCCATTTTTTAAGATATTATTTATGGCTGCTTTTACACATACAGTTGAATAGTTCAAGACAAAAACATTTAACAATTTCTAGAAACATTTTGGGTTGCCACAACGGGGAGGGGGTACTTTTGACATCTGGAAAATACTAGGAATGTTGCTAAACATCCTACAACATAAAGAACAGCCACCCCACAAAAAATAATCCAGTCCCAAAAGTCAATGGTGCTGTCAAGAAAGCCTTCATTACAGTAGTTATTAGGCTTGAATGCATATTAAAAACAACTGGGGAGCTTGGAAAATATAAATGCAACTTCTCTGGCCATGAGTAATGGGTATCAGGCTCTTCTGCCATAAAAACCCATGATAAAAAATGATAAAGTCAGAAGAAAAATATAAAGCCATTAGGAGGCATCTAAAACTAACAAGAAACAGAAAATCCAGACTTCAGAAAGTCCACAATTTAAGTTACACTTACTCTAGATCAGGCCACAAAAGCCTAAAGCGAAGTTATGACAAGATCAAGTTGAACGATCAGTACATTAACTGCTAGAACAAGCCCAAAACTCTTTAAAGGAATGCTGTAAATTCTGACCATAGCATCTACAGTGCTCAGTATACAAAAATACTTGACTACATATAGGATGTATGAAAATGTAAACCATAACCAGGCAAGAAAAGAACTCAGATGTCTCAGTTCAGACAACTATCAAACAAAGACCGCAGAACAGCTACATAAATATGTTCACGGACATCAAGGAAAAATTAAACATGGTGAATAGATAAACATTAGCAAAAATATGAAAAATGCAGAAAAGGAAAAACGCCCTAGATTTAATAGCTGATTTTACAGTAAAGTATAGAAGTCAGGCAAAAGAAAACATCCAAAGAAGATAAAATGTTTAAAATATAAAATGTCTCAATTTTATGTGAAAAAGGTGAAGTATTCTAATATACATGTCTTTGGATCATGGAGGAGGAGGGGTTAAGGCATGAAACAAACTGATGTCACAGATGAACACTTTTCTAATTTCATGACTGATACCAACCCATAGATAAAAGCTCAATAAATCCAAAACACAACAAAGACCACCATGCCTAGGAAAGTCAAAGATTAAAAGGAGATCTTCAAAGCAGCCAGAGATATTTTTTAGCTTTTTGTCACTGTGACAAAATATCTGAGAATCAAAAGATAGAAGGCTTTATTTTAGGTCATGGTTTAAAGATTTCTGTTTATGGCCACTTGGCCCTATTGCCATTGGGTCTGTGGCAAGATAGTACATTATATTAGGAATGCATAATGAAGGAAGCTACTCACCACAGAGTGGCCAGAAAGTGAGAGGAAGTGGCAGAAGTCCCAATATCCCCTCTCAGGGGGATGCTCTAAGTAACCAAACTTTCCCACTAGGCCTTAGCTCTTAAAGGTTCTACCACCTCTTAACAGCATCATGGCCTGGGGACCAAACCTTCAACATATGGGTCTTGGGGGAATGCCAAGATCTAAAATACAGCAGTCTACCTCTGCCCCTGAATGTTCATGTCTATCTCATAATGAAAAATGCATTTAATCCATATCCAAATGTCTACAAAATTTTAAAAGTTCCAGCATTTCTCAATTGTCCAATTCCAAAAATCTCAAAGAGTCAAAGCATATTTATCTGTGAGCCCCTGTAAAATATAAAAAAGTCACCGATGGCACCAGATAAAGATTATCATTCCATAAGTTTGGAATAGGAAAATCATGAGGAACACTACGAAATCAAGATTGAAATCCAGGATGGCAAACATTAAATCCTACAGCTCCAATTTCAGCATCTGGGGCACACAGTGGTAGAATATGGACTCCCAATGGCTTGGGTAGCCCCAACCCCCATCACATTGCTGGCTGCAGCCTACATGGCCACTCTCTTTGGCTAGCTCTGCTCACTGCTTGCAGCCTCCCTTGGCAGATATTCCACATGCTGGTCTCTCTAACTTTCTGTGGTCCTCGGTGTGGCTTTGGCTTCACTCTCATAGCTTCACACATCACCCTGACAGGAGATGCCTGCAGGGTCTTTGGCCCTGTCCCACACTACCTGGCCTTCCAGGCTTTCCTCTGAAATCTTGGTGTAAATTCTCCATGATACCCGACTAATGCATGCAATACCATCATCACATGGGTGATGGTGGGGTCTGCTGCTGACATGAGCTGTGCTGGATCCCACTGGAACCATGGCTACAATGGCCTCTGAGTGCCTTGCTGGCTGGAATGAATCCCATGGTCCCGGATAGATGGGTGGGGGCTATCTTCTTAACCACAAGTCTTTAAACTTACACTTTTGAATCTGCAGTGTATGGAGTGTTGCTGATTCACAAGATGCTGTCAAAGCACCTTTCCTGTTGTCCCAGTGCAAAGTACCTGACTTCTTTTTAGTGAAACTAATCTTTTTAGCAGCTGCACCCTTGTTGGAAGCACTAATATGCTACCTCTCTGGTTAAACTGCAAGTTTTCCAAATTTTTCTGCTGTGCTCCTCTTTGCTCTTGATTCTCTTGGTGAATTTGGCTAAAACAATATCCATGCTGTTGCCTGAATGTTGAGCCAGAGAAACTAGTTTGTCATCCTTAAACTCAGTCTTGTACAAAGTCTCAGGGCATGGACATGATGCATTTAAATTCTTTGGTACAGTATAAGACAGCCTGTAGTTTAATGGCTAATAGAGTCCTCATTTCCATCTGAAACCAAGCACAGTCTTTGCTATCATCGTTTCTATCAGCATTCTGGTCTTCTGAGCACTCATCAATATCACCCATTAAATTTGGCTCATAGCAGTCTAGGCTTTTTCTGGCCTACTTTTCCAAATTTTTCCAAACTCTTCCAGCAAACCAATAGTTAAGACTTCTCCACGTCATCTGATGTATAGTCACGGCAACAATGCTTCTGCTTATTACCAGTTTCCTATGGTAGCTTTCCATCATTGTATTCTCTTCCTCTCTAATGTTTTACAGTTTTTGTTGTGTAGATCTTTCTCCCTTTTTGTTAAATTTATTCCACAGTATTTAATTTTTTGTAGATACTGTAAATGGGATTTCTTTGATTTCTATCTCAAATAACTGGCTATTGGCATACAGCAATGCTTTTTATTTTTATATACTGAGGTTTTTTTTTATTCTACAACTTTGCTGAATTCATGTATTTTGAATAATTTTTGGTGGAGTCTTTTGTGTTATCTACATGTAAGATCATGGTATCTATAAAAAGTGACAACTGGCCTTCCTCCTTTCCGGTTTTGTGCCCTATATTTCTTTCTCTTATCTGGTTGCTCATACTGAGACTTCCAGTATTGTGTTGAATAAAAATGGTGATTTATATGACATGCTCAAAATTACTAAACTATAGAGATGTAGAAAAAATAATACTATCCAGGATTAAGAATGAGGAAAGAATGTCACTACAAGGCACCACAAAGGATTTGTGGTCACAGAACAGTTTTGTAGGGTGATTATGTTGTTTATTCCAGACATGTAATAAAAAAGTTGCACTTTGGTGAACATAAAAATTGGTGATGTCTGGTAGAAAAATAAAGTGATGATATCTGAATTGTGTCTATTCAGTAAGTATACTAATATAAATTATATATAGTAATAATATATATTATTATAGTAATATACCTATGTCAATTTCCTGGTTTTGAAAATTATACCATGGTTATATAAAATGTTTTCATTGGGGGAAGTTGGGTTAAGGGTGATCTCTAGATCATTTCTGCAATTTCTGAATCTATAATCACTTCAGGATAAAATAAAAATATGCTTATGTTTTCTTCATTGCACAGCTAGGGATCAAAATACTTTTAAATGCAGAAATGAAATATAAATCCAGCTTTCCCTCCACCAATAAAAAGTAAAATTAAAGTAAAGATACTCTCAGAATGATAAGAGGAATTTCTTTACACTGAAGGGAAAAGATATGAAATGTAAACTCAGATTTATTGATAGTATAAATTCCAATAACTAAATATTAAACTTTTTAAGACTTCTAATTCTTTTATGTATGTGTGTATATATGTGTTGGGGGTTACTGGGAATTGAACCCAGGGCCTCAACACATGCTAGGCAAATGTGAGCTACATCGCTGAAGTTATGATTGAGCTACATGTACTCCAATTCTTTCTTTTTCCTTCATTAAATTTTCTTTTAAAAATTTCTTTGAAAGAACTGTTTGTAGCAATAATAATAAGCATTATGAAATTTATTATGTAAAGCAAAATGTATAACAATGAAGGATGGGGTATAGCAGTATATTGTAATTGTGAACTTGTTTATTAATAAGGCAGATGGT